CCCTTGTCAGCCACAACAATCAGGTGATTGGATTCCACGCAGGCACTACCTAGGTACGGAGTACACTTGGTGCTTCCCGGTTAAGCCTCCACGGGATTGGCCATGTAGGCCAGTTTATTCGTGGGACAACTGCTGCCTCGGCAGGTACTTGACCCTGAATTTTTTTTTTCGCCCCTATTTGGCGTTTATCCCTGGGTTTCCTACAGATTGCATTTCTTTTGTTGTTCTTGTGCTCAAATTCGTTCGAATTCCAGGAAATGCATTAGCGTTCGAACCAGCCCATGGCGGGGCTTGGCGCCACGCTTTTTGTAGCGTCATCTTATTGTTCGAGTTAACTATCCACTAGTTAGGGCATACCAAGTGAAGGCCCCTCCGGAGCTCACCATGCCACGGCATGCCCTTCACCGCTGGCTCGCACTCCGCTCCTCTCATGGGGACTTCTCCTGGTACCACAGGCGTTTCCAGCATGCAGATGCGAGGCTCACCTGTGTCTGTGGACACAACAAGAGCCCAGAACATTTGGTGCTCTGTCGACACTCACAGAGGCACTTTCTTCACTGGCCCAAGAGGCCAGCAGCACGGCCACACAACCGGGCGACGGCGTTTGCCTATCTAGGGTCTCTGACCCCTACAGACTTTGTAGAACTGCTGGACTGCACGCAGTTCTACACACGGTACTGCACAAGGTAACGCAGCCGGCTGGCTGCAAACCATCTGACAACCCCCGCAGCAGTTCCACGAGGCCGGCCTGCTGAGTACACCCACGGTAGCTAGTGCAACTGCCAGGGACATCACAGTCTATGCAGACAGTACAGATAGCACAACTAGGCTCATCTGTCTCAATTAGCTGTGGTGTAATCAGTACAGTCTACGTGTCTGACTCAGCTGATATGGTTTTGACTGCCGGCATTGTATCTACGCGTGCTCTGCTTTGTTTTCCTCTCGTTTGCCTTTGTCTCTATCGGCTCAAATGCTTCTTCTTCCTTCTTTTCTTTGCTCTCTCTGTCATTCTCTGCTCTTTTCCTGTCACAACCTTCTTCAGTGCTCTCTCCTCTCTTTTCCCCCGGGTCTGTGCCAGGTCACGTGACTACAAGGTGTTGCAGATGACACAGTCTTTCCTTCACCTCTCTCTTTTATTCTTTTCATTTCAGAACACACACTTTCCCTCTCTTTCTTTCATTATTTATCTTGTCTGTCTTTCTTCTGATGTTAGAAGCACAGACAGCTTTCTAATCAACTGAGAGAGGTATCCCTCTCTGCTCACTATAAAGCCTTCCAGGCATGGCAGCGGCGGTCCCCTTAGGGAACCACACTATAGCCCCACCATGAATGGCCATACGTCGGGCCGGAAGTGGATGCGCAGCTCAGAAAAATCCTTTGCAATGAGCTGAGTCTTCTCAAGAGTTGCCACCGGGATTCTGTTTTCTCTCTCTCTCTGTGTACATAGAAATCTCTCCAGCGTAGCACGTCTCCATGCCCTTCGGGAGGCTTCTGAAACACGGGCGTTGCCCGTGTTTTCTCCGGGACGTTAAAACTATACATACATACATACATACATAAAGAATTCACAGAAAGTAGCCACTGCCTTTTCAATGGTCAGAGTGTTGTGTATGCCTCTGTTGCTTGATGTGATCGCCCAACCTGTCCTGGTGGGCTTCACCTTCAACACATTGACCACATCCCCCACCCTCTGAATGTTTGCAATGATTGTCTGCTGCATAGCATATGGCTGTAGCTGGGTGATCTGTTTCTCTGACTGAAAAGTAATAAGGACTTGTAAGTCCTCTTGCTGTTTTATGCCCTCTGTGAGGCCTCTTGACTGACTGGTGCTTTTGAGCTGCAGGCTAGCTCCACTAGCCCTGCCTGCTGGGGAAGCCGCAGTCTTGACAGAGGTAACCTCAGAGAGGGCAGAGGTTTTCCCTCTCTGAGCAATATTCACTCAGATAGTCGGCTTCCTCACAGCTGTCTTTGCTGCATTTGACTGTGGATGAGTATTTAGAGCAGCATTCTCTCTCAGAATTGATGCTGCATTCAGATCTGCTATCACATACTTGACAAATCTCTCACAGAAGATTCAGACAAAGTTCTGACTGATTGACTGCTTCTTCTTCTCAACTCAGCTGTTCAAAGTCTTCATCAATTTGATGAGTGTCTTCTGCTGCAGATTCTGTTGCTGCTGAGCCTCCTCAAACAGCTTCTGCAGCTGAGAGGTGGCTGTGGGCATGCTGTTACTGATTTCTTTGAAAACTGAAGAAGGCATTGTGACAGTCTTCCTCTGCCTCTTGCCAGTCTTTTCAGTGATAAAATTGGCTGGTGACTCTAGCTCCGGTGGCATAATGTAGGCTGTGTCAATGTCCTTGAGCGGATAGGAGGGTGTTGAGGGCTCTATGACCACTCAACCTATGCAGTACACACACATAGAGAAATCACAGAGAGTGTGTGATGATATTGAACAGGTTGGGGGGTTAAAATTATACGAAAAACAGTTGGAAAAGTGGAAAATTCAAATGTACCCATACGTTCGTGGGTAGTTGTAAGGATGACATGAGTGTGGAGCATGGAGTAGAAGAACATTGAGAATTATGCAGAGTCATAATGACAGAAACAAGTGAATGCAGAAAAGAAATTGATTGTATAAATTAATTACTAATAAATGCTAATCTGTCACGTATATCATTTATGAATAACAAATGCTATATGCAAACATCAGTGATAGTAAAAAATGATCATAAGATTTTTCATACTTATTATTGATTTATAATTAATTGACAGATTCAAATTGTACTTATTCATCAGAAAACTCAGAATGAATTAATATTGAGAATTAAAAATGAAGAGAATGATTTTTTAAATTAAGATTTTATTTTATTAATTAATTCACTCATCAATTCATTCATCATTTGATCTGTCTCTCTTCTAAAGAGCAGTCAAAAAAATTTTCATTCAATTTAAATTATATTTTATTTGATGATTTTGAAATTTTTCAATCTTCAATCAGTATAGACTGAGAAGTTCTTATCCACACATGCAGAAAAATGAAAGTGTGTATCAATTCTGATAAATGAACAATATCTTCACAAAAAATGTCAGCATATTTCATCATAAATTCAATATATATAAAATTCACTGATTTCAGAAATGCTGAATATAATTGCTGATAATAATTATAACAACAATATATTTCTTATTTGTGATTTGAAATCAAATCAATCTGACAATGTCTTTCACACAGAATTCATCTAAAATGAGTTTTTTGATTATTTTTTTTTTGAATATATTGATTTTTCTTGATGGGTTTGAAGGGCTTCTGTAAGCAAGTCCATTGAAAAAACATATCATTCAGATAATAAAAGAAAGCAGAGAAAGTAATTAATATAAAAAGATTGAAATGAAGCAGTGTAAATAAAAATATGTGAATAAATAAAAATGTGTGAGTGTAAGCAGCGATGTTGGAAATGGCTGCTTATATTTCGGTTGGTCCTTAGGACTCTACGAGGATCAAGCAGTAGGAGATAATACAGTGATATATCGGAGAGGATTCGGATCAAGTAGTTAGGTATTGAGGGTGTAGAACGTAGGGGTCAGATTATAACAGAATGATCCGCTGGTCCCTAGAAGGTTGGACCAGCTGCTAGCTATATACACGCAGTATTGTAAGCAGATCAAACTTGATATGATGTAGATGGCGTAGTATGATGCAAGTGGCAAGATAATGCCTTGATTTCAAACCTGATATTGACGTTGGTGGTGCTATGTTCGGCGATGTCATATCTTTAGGGCTATCGCTAATTCCGGCCTAGCACTGGCACCTTAGTGCGGGTTTCTTACAGTGAGTAAATAAAAATGTTTGAAGACAGTAGAGACAGTATCACTAAGAGTGAATGAAGAACATGATTCAAAAAAGCTGAAGACATTGAATTTATACATTGTAAGAAGTAGAGCATCATTGTGCCACAATTAGACTGAGCATTGATAGCTCACAGATACAACATCGCGACTATCACTCTTTTAAAAATGTATGTGAAAAATGGCTGTTAAAGAGATTTGGGGTGTGATATTGAAATAAAAGCGGTGTAGGTTTTGAGTCACGTGTCAAGGAATGAGCTTAAAACAGCAACAAAAATGGGATGCTCTGAGTGGCCGCACCCCCATCTTACAGACTATCCCCTCGTCCGTAGGTTTGTGCAAAATTAGCGTGGTTTCATTAGTGTATATTATACGAGATCTCATTGAATAATCAGTGTATTTTTGAGTATTCATTGGTATTAGTGTAATATATAAACCCTAATTAATGATCCGCGTAAATAGATATTAGGATATACTATGAAATTCCGCACAACATTGAGTTTTCAAACATAAGGGGGTATTTTGACACTCTGAACAGCCAGAATTTGATCTCTCTATCTTTTTATACTTCTGCTGGCCAATCTTTCGTTTATATTGACACCAGGCACAAACATACTGCTTTGGAAGAGGAATCCATTGATGATTTAGATTAGAATTTGATCATTCCCTTGGTAGATTATCATGAATCCTAGATGTGAATTCAAAGAGTTCCTGGTAAAGCTTCTCATGAAAGCTTATATGAGAAGGAAGATCCTTCACTGGAATCCCCTACTGCTTCATATATAAATATTGAAGCCGGTATGCATTAATAGCTGCGGGATCAATAAGCCAGTAGAGAATAGGAAGCCAGGTGTGATAGGTGACTCTATGACTAGTATATGCTGCCTGGTATTGATTTGCTAGGTCTACCTCATTCATATGATGATTATAATCATCTATAATCAATGGGATTTTCAGCTTCTTTTGTGGTTGATCTTCAAAGACTTTTCTAACAATATTGGCATTGGTTGAGAGTTCCCCTGGGCATTTATGAGTACATTCAATAACTGCGTTCAATGAATGAATCGTAGTTAGTGCCAATACCATATTATTATCTTGCCAAGCAAGACAGAGAACATTCTCTTTTTCAATGGCATGCAGGGTATTCCAGGGTATGGAATTTGAATGCTCTCAAAGCTCACCTAGTACTGCTGGAACCTGGTTTGGATGAGTGGTTCCACATGCTCCATACCTCTGTTGATGTAGTTCTTTGAATAAAGGAACTGATGTAAAGTAGTTATTCATATAAATTGAATAGAATATGACCAGCTGTGAGATAGAGATTTCATTAGGCGTGGCATTCGGTGTAGCATTCAGGGGGGTGATATTCGGGTTGATATTAGGGCCAATATTATGGGTGATATTAGGGTCGATATTAGGGGTAGCATTCAGCATGGTATTCAGCGTATTCAGCGTGGATACCATAGGAAGCCGCTTCACCAGATTCACCACCATAGATCCGGTTTTTGTTAACATAGAGAATTGAAACATAGGCATTATACCTTGCCGGCGGCTAGACCAGGAAAAAGACCATAAATAGCTATGTTCTGCTAGGCCAAATATCTTATATCCTCAAGGAATTGGTTTATTAGACATCTTGTATGTATGTTGACTCTGTCCAAAGCATTTAACCATAATCTCATCAATGGAAATCTTAGAGCCAGGGGTATAGTATTTTCAGCATGTCATATGAAACTTAGTAGCTAATGGCTCTACCTTATACCACCAATCCTTATTTTTGGCCTCCGGGCGGCGGGCCTCATGAGGGTTAGATATATGGATATATCGTTTAATTTGTTTGAAACGCGTATGGGTCATATAGGATTGAATGGAATGAATAGAGCCTTGTTTCAGATCATTCCACCAGTATAGATCAGTTTGATGGGATTTATGAACTTCCATATAGAGAAGAATGCCTATAAAGACCTTTATCTCCACTGGATTGATATTTTTCCATGAACATTGCTGAATAGAAGGCTTTGAGAATATAGATATTTCAGAAATCTCTATATCTATATCTTGAGCTTTCTCATTCTCCTCCATTTCTGAAAGCTCTGGAGCTTCATCATCAGTATCTCTAGTATCTCTCTTTAATTTTACATAGAGATTAGTAGAATTACTGATATTTTGAAAGCATTCCTCAAAGAAGAATAAGGTAAACAGGGTGTATGAACTGCTAATATTGATATTTGCAGAAATATTGAGAATTGGATCTCATGAGGTAGGCAGTATTGGGTGGAATTTCACTGATTCTAGAGGTGGAAGTTCTGCAATAACCTCCTCAACAGGCCGTTTTCATTTTCTTGATGTTTTTGTATGAACTAGAGAATGAATTAGTTAGCTAGGTCATTTGAATTGATTAATATAAGGAACTCACCATTGGATTTAGTAGGTTTCTCAGTGGATTCCACGTTCGCAGGTTTGGGGGGTTCCATATTCGCGGGTAGAGGGATAGGTGGGTGAATATATGAGAATCAGGCAGGCAGGCAGACAGGCAGGGCTTCAAACGCGTTGAATTCCATACACATTCTTAAGATTTACATGGGATCTTCAATCAGTGGATCTAAATGACCAATTATTATTCACATAAAATTATATAGGATTCTATTGGTTATGCCCAGGGCGCCGGTGCAGAATTCCATACACTAATTGAAACCACGCTAATTTTGCACAAACCTACGGACGAGGGGATAGGTACCGCCTAAAGATCAGCCGCCGTCACATGATATATACCCTCATAACCCACGACGCCTTTAGTATGGGTCCAATTTTGGTTGGGTCATTGACCAGATATTTATAATTACATTTTTAGTGATTGAATATATAACTCTGAAGCTTACTACTCTGATATTCCTTATTTATATTAATATAATATAATGTTGACAAATGACCTAGCTAGATGTTAAAGTACATATCTATATAGTATGATATATTGTTGATATTTGATGAAGGGGGTTGCTCTTTGTCCCATTCTAGATATTTTATAACTCTATGTATGTTCGTCGATGCACTGTAGTTATATATATATGCAAGCTGATTAGTTAGCTTTAATCCCCAGCCTTTTCTTTCTCTTTACCCGCAGGTCACTAAGACATGGCGCAAAGAAAACGCGCCCAGTTACGACCTCCCTAATAGTTCCTGCGGAGACGATAATCCACAAAATCAATACACAGAGTGACAGGATCTATTAACAAGTTAGAGTGAGTCTGGAATGTTTGTCTGATGATAGTTCCAACAAGGGATGACACATACTGTACCAAGCACTTTGAAAAATTGAGACGGCATTTCTTTCGCCATCAATATGGTGCAATTAGCATAAACGCCCAGCGGGAATATGGAGGCCCACCATCCCATTGAAAACGGAATTCGCTTGCATTGAGCAATAGAAATAATCGCAGAAAGCATCCACAGGAGCCCGAACCCCCAGAGAATCAATGCGATCATGAATCCGACTGCATAGAATACGTCACCAGCAGTTGCATCAAGGGTATTATTCAGTGGGAAGAATTTCTTCGCATCAACACCGAGTTTTAGGATGCTGAGATGAAATCAGCTTTTCAAATGCCACAATCGCTCAAACCAGCAAGGGGACCTATAAGTTGTTTCTAAACAAGAACAGACTTGGGAAATTAACTCACACAAAACCCCCTTGACCCATTGGTCCAAGAGGAATGCAAGTACTGACGATCATGGCTTTTGGTGGTAGCTTGTACAGCGCCAGCCTCTTAAAATATACCGCGAGGATTATCATGGAAAATAATATCCCCAGGCCCCAGAGAATATACGAAGCTAGAAAAAAAAAGGTAAATTTCTCAATAACCCAATGCATCCTCAACATCAAAATCACGGATGAACGTGAAATGTACGAACCTATGATTGTCCACAGACTAAGTTGTGGCGTTGGTAGGTAATCGGCTACAACTGCACCGGTAGACGCCGCAACGATCGTACTGACGACGGGCAACAGCCATACCGCGGTCATTGAAGGTAAATCCGTTTGTCTCCCAGGTATCATTCTGTCCACAATCCAATTAGCCCACGGTAGCTTGAAAAAGAAAAAATGTCGACCAGGATGTAGAAGGCTAGAAATCAAGAAATATAGCCTTACTGGATACGTACAACATAAACGGGAAGCCGACAGCACACGTCAAGGGAAATGACGGAGTCGACTATCCATAATGCCCAGGTGACTATCTGTACCCAATTGCCCCACACAGGCGAACACACAAGAGAAATCATCGATACGATGGTGGAAAACCCCATCGGAAATGTCCCGATGAAAAGCGACTGAACCTGGTGTTTGAGCATAACACGCCAGATCTCCGGCCAAATCGTATATCGCAAGATGGAGATTGTCAGAAACGTGCTGAACAAAATTGTATTGAGCCCAAAAATGACAACAGATATCCAGTAGAGCCACACTCCGTTGTATGGGAGATTGAAGAGAAGGATAGAGACTATCCCAGTCCCCATATTCACGGTGAACCATCTGCATATAAAGCGGGAGAGATAAGAGACAAATTAGCGAAAGGTTTCCTTTTCGGTTTGGCAATAATGGCATTGCGAGAACCCTCATCCTTTCTGAGTGAATCGAAGCTTGATCAACCAGCACAGAGAGGTAAATTCGATGAAAGAAGGGGGACGTACGAAGGTGTAAAATTCCGTACTATTTTCCTCCACCCCTGATCATTTTTGGATAGTGCTTCAAAGTCGCCATCGGATAGTTGGTTTTCCGGATCTCTAGTATTTTCTCCCTGACTCTCTTTGCCGACATTATTGTCCACATTGCCATCTGGGCATATGCTGTCACCACTTTTCACACCAGTGTCTTCCTGGGAGAGATGAGATGAGTTGACCATTCGCGATGGGCAACTTTTGTCGCAGCACGAAGACATTTGCTTTTATTTCTTTTAATTTTTTATCTCTCCTTTTCTCACCACTTCCTTGCCTTCTCGGCCAGATACAAAAAAAAAAAAAAATAAACGTGCAATCACGCCCAGAATCGCATTCCCATGTCCATGTGGCAATTACCTGACACAGTGAGAACGTGATTTTTCGAGGGGAAAGGGAATGTATATATGAATAGAAATAGCTGCTTCAAAATGAGCTGCGACTGCAGTGGGCCCGGAATGAATATTCTCAAATCTTCCAGCTGAAGTTGCATGGAATAAATCGCCATGAAGGGAAAACCTTCGGATTGAGTGAACCATGGCTGGTCATGGTTCTGTTATACAGGCCATTGGGCTAGATTTGAGTTGTATTACGTCATCGAACTGGTGGTCACTAGTCCACTACAGGCATGATGGAAAACGGTCATCGTGAGTTGGAAAATGGTTGGAGAAACAGAGCGATCTGATTTGGACCCAGGAATCTCCTGTGGAACCCAGACCCGTCATCCCCAAAAAACTCTAATCCTTTAATATATGTGCCATAGTATGAAAGTTTTTTTTATCAACCATGGTTCCAAAAGCGCGAGCGAAAATTGTGGACATCGCGCTCAACTTTGCTTGTCTGACCCACAGCGGACGGGTGTCATGATTCCATAAGTAATGAAGTAGTTAGTACAATTTCCGAAAAATTCTGATTAGTATATACAATGCAGAGGATCCTTAAACCGAAATATAACCTCCCAAAAAATAATGAATCAAGCTTTAGGTCCGAACAAGGCTTCAACCGTATTATACGTATATTTCAAATCCATATGCCAGTAGTCTGTGCTCGTTGCTTTCGCAATCAGCCACGCCTCATCCAGTGCGTCCACAACCTCCTTGGGTAACGGCCCTTTCTCCATATCCGCTAAATTCGCCTGCAGCTGCTCAAAGCTGCCCACGCCAATGATAATTCCATCGCGCGATGACGGTCCGATTCCAATATTCAACGCAGAGTGATGATGCACCCAGCGGAGTGCGGTCTCGACTAGCGTTAGATTATGCTTCTGCACGACCGGCTCAATGATACGCAGAGCGTCGAGGTTCGCATCTCTGAAGTATCGTTTGCGGTACATAGCGCCTAAGGACGGGTTCGCAAAACGGCCGGTAGGTGGCATCTCGGTGGTTTTGTATTTACCGGATAAGAGGCCACCGGCTAGTGGGTTGTAAATTACCACGTCAATACCGTAGCGTCTGCAGGCGGGAATGAGTTCTGATTCAATCGAGCGGGCTGGAAGGCAGTTAGTGGGGCTTTGATTCCATCTGTGTGACAAAGCAGGGAAAGGAAAAAGGAAACGATGGACTTAACTGATGGCATTATACATTGCCTGATAGATTGTTGGTCTAACCCAACCGCGCTCATTGCACATAGTGACGATCTCCGCAACTTCAAAAGCTGCATAATTACTCAATCCAAGCTGCACAAATTTCCCTTCCTTATGGAGCTCGTTGACAGCCTCTAACGTCTCTGCGAAGGGACCGATCTATCCGCTGCATGCAGATAAAAAATATCCACGCAATCTGTTTGCAACTCTTTTAGGGACTGATTGAGTTTCTCTTTCACAACATAGCGTGGTGATGGCCTGGTTCTTTAGGATACCATTTGGTCGCTATGTTGAGGCCCCGCTCCTTCCAGCCCGCTTGGGCTGTAAAGGCTTCCTGTTTCCCGTCAACGTAGGTGCGGGCAGTATCAATTTCGTTATAGCCTTGCTGCTGGAAATAGTCTAGACTTTTTTTGTAGTCATCTAGGGAAGTGATGCGTGCGCCTGCTTCAGTATCAGGACCAAAAGTCATCAAACCCAGAATGACGCGAGGTTTGACATTCTGCACGATCAGAGGCATATTGATAAGTGGAAAAGTGGGAGGTGACGAGAGTTCGAACTGTGTTCAGTGTAGTTGCTGGATTTCCGACAGCAGTTTGATCATGTTGCGGGATATTGGATCTATAATCTTTGTTGGAATTTATATGCGGGGTAATTGTCAAGGGCCAGGCATAAGGTACGGGGAAAAGTCAGCCCGTGCCCGTCGCAGAGGGCGGAAAATAAGGCGGAAAATAAGCTTCGCGCGGAACAGCGCCAAGATATTTCTCGATCAAGGACTAAGCGCGTGCATGATTTTCGCACGTTATTTCATAATAATATTGAAAGGACACCTGGCGAGTGATTTTGTAAAGCATTGAAGCGTTAGTAGCTGTTGAGCAGCCACTTAGGCTTTAAGAAGCCAGCACTCCACAGATGTGAAGGAAGCTAGGCACAACCACGAAACATGTTAAAAGGCATATTTTATCAGCAATATAAGATAAGGATGCGGGATCCTTGATTAGGACAGTCTCTGTTTTGTAAACCCTTTGTATCCTGCGATAGCGCTACTGCATAGTTACGTTCCACAGTCTCAGTGTCGCCTACAATGCACTTCCTGTAATTGGCTAGTATGCATTCTTTAGAATCTGGATACGGCGTGTGCACCGTCTGCTGGAAATTTCTTGACCAAAGGCGGTTTTTAGAACTGCCAGTCTGCCATCGATCACAAGATCTTCTCTTCGCTTCGGATGTCCTTGATAGGTCAGTGGAACTTAGAGGTTGCTGAAGTGACTATCGTCATTAGCTGATTTTATCTTTCCTGGCCACATATATCTGAGCCCCTATATGGATGGAAGCTTCCGGCGACGTCGCACTTTTCTTTTTTTCCATTTGCCTTTGTCTCGTTGAATGGGTCATATCCGGCGAAGTCATCGGTTGATGACGGTCCGACAGATGCTTTCCGTCAGTTTTGCGAGAGAGCTGGGATTTTCAAGATATCGCCTTTCGCTCTCCAGGTATTTCACGCGATTGGATTTTCTTCAGGGCTGCCACAGGATCGAGCCGGGGAGGATCGTGAAATTCGCGCTTTCCTAGAAGCAGTTGCGCGGAAAATTTGGAAGTAAATTTAACGTCTTCTAGGCTGTGGTAGCCTTGCACAGATTCAACAAGAACGTGTGATAGCCTTACCTCCCCAGCCTGGCAGCAAGTTGTGTCGCCATATATCTATGGTGATTCAAGTCGTCGATTTCGAGAAGGTAGGCGATTCCCAGCGCACACTAATGCGGTTTTATGCGTTGTACAAGTCGTGGCAGGGTGCGCGGGATAGCGGTATCGGAGGGTGGGCACGGCGAAGGGGTTAGCTTGTATGGTACAGGATCACCATATATGTTTCTAATAATATTGTGCTGATATTCTTCACCTGCAGGACACCAATCTGTGCAGCTTTCGCCACGCTTTTACCACGCTTTTAGTCATCTCGCTTAGTTTTTTTTGTCAATGGACCAACACTAACGCGTCGCGACTAGAGTGGTCATGGCGATGAGGGAATTGGTAGATTGACCGATGTGATCGGCCGAAATGCATTCTGAGAGTGTCAAAGGTTGGTCCTCGCTGTTGCGCGAGTAAATAGCTCGTCGGCCGCTCCCTTGATGCACGGAGGGACAAACCCTATTTCTGGGTATTCCGATGTGTAGCATCGCTGGCCTGGACGGTCATGGATGAGTCCAAACCCGCCATTCATCTTCACGGCTGGCGTTCCTCTGCCAGCGACAGAGTCTCGTTGAGGCGTTGAAATAAAATTTATCCAAAACGGCGGGCTCATGCGCGAGGTCACGTTTTTGGCGGGGACACGGATTCAACGACAATGGGCCAAAGAAGCTCAGTAACATCTGATAGTCAATCCAATCCCTCCAAAAATAAGGGTTATGAACCTGTGCAAGTGTCGTTCGTTTTATCATCAATTTGCAGAGACCACTCATATATATGCATGAATATATGTATGGACTCTGCATACATACGTTCTAAACCACATTCAATGCACTGGACACAGAGATCCGCTATGCTATAGCGACAACCAGTTGATGTTGGGGCAGTCACCCTGATCATTGTTTGTCGTGATGACCAGTAATTTCTTCGCACAATTTCGCGCTTTGGTACAATGTGTTTGACGCCTTCTCATCTCCTGACAGCCCACGATCTTTCACTACTTTCTGGGCAAGGCGTATATCGATTCGACTATCGAAAAGCTCGTATCGAATAGCGGTTCTGCGTGTGTGTAGGCAAATAGAGGACAATCAGATGCTCTCAGTAGAGATTTTCTTTTAGAACATCTGAGTTTTTTTTTTTTGTCTTTTGAACACTCCTTTGGCGATAGTAAATTTTTATTTATTTAATTTCGGATACTCCGTACTCCGTAGAGTGGTTCATATTTGTTGAGCATTAAGGGCCTGTTCAGTGTGGCTGTGTGTACTCATTCTTTTTGTACAGATCTCCACTTTTTTTAAAAAGTACAGCTCAATATGACAACTGTTCAGTAAGTAGAACAGCTGTACTAATATTACAGCTTCTTTTTACAAAATACAGATGAAAAAAATCAAATATTTGATGAATTAAACAACTGTATTCACATATTTTATCAAGATCATATAAATAAACAATATTTAACTTCAATGATATGTAATAGTGTAGAATAATGTAGAATAGTATTCATAATGAAAGTAATCCATTAATATTGATTAAAAAAAAGTTTGCAAAAACATATTTTTTTGACATGAAATTTAGAATCAATTTAAAAAAAAATATATTTTTGCAAGTTTCTTATTTCATCATACAAAAGATTGATCAGTGAAGATTAATATGAAAAATAATTAATAATAAAATAATGAGATGAATAAACAGATTCTACAAATCATAATTCAATAATATATCAATTTTCATCAACAATTGTTTGTCAAAATAGCCATGAATTTGATGATGAGAATCTTTTTAATATCATAAAAAAAAGTATTATATAAAACATCTTTTATTAATATTTTATATATTATACAGCTGCTGAATTCAAATATTCATTTTAATTATATTAAAAATATTACACATTTTTATTGAAAAATATTTATGTAATTCATTATTCTTTTTAAAAAATATACAATTATGTTTGAATCTGATGTTATGAATGTGATAAAGATGAAAGAAAAAGTAATGATATTTCTCTATATTATTATACAAAAATTTTCATATTGAAATGTGAAAAAATTTGAATATTTATTTGATACAATTTCAAAATAAAAATTAACTTCTCATATAATCATTATATAATTTTTATTATTTTGAAAATATTCATTCATTTTACATAAAATATTTTATGAGATGTTAAATGCATTTTGTATACTTTACAATCAACTTATATAATTATCAAAATCTTTTATGAAATATAATGAAGATTTGTTCAATGATAGTTTTAAACAATGATCATTTTTTAAAAATTGTATTGAAATTTTAAATGATATTCATTTTTCAATATTCATTTTTATGATGAATTAGCATCTGTTAATAATTAATTTACACAATCAACTTCTCTTTTGCATTTACTCATCTCTGTTATTGCATTTCATATTTATATAGCTTTTAATGATTTTTTTATATAACTTCTTCTGCTTCACACTCTGTATTTGTATAATTTTAATGATTTTTTTATATAATTTTTAATGTTCTTCTACTTCATCCTCCACTGTGAAATAGCTTCTGATATTCTTTCATTTCAAATTTTTTTTTATAAAAACCCTCTTCATATAATATTTTCTTCTGATCTCTTTTCTCTTTCTTTTCTTAATCAATTTATAATCTGTATTTAAAATAGTGTTAGATTGTTAATTAAAATACATTTATTATATTATGAATTGATTCATCTGTATCAGTCTGAATGCTTTATGTTTATGATTGCATCCAGGTATTTATATTAAGAAATAAATTATCAAATCTTCATAAAACTATGTTGTTGTGATAACATCTGCAATTTCTAAAGTTCTACAAAGCTGCATCACTGTGATAATGCTGCAAAGAACTCTGAGCATTTAAAAACTTCATAATCGTATGTCTGTGAACAGATCAGAGTGTTCATAAAATATCTTCTCTGAAGAACTTAACTTTCTGATCTTCAAGTTATCAGAATCAAAAATTATAACCTCATATGAAAATAAAATGAATTACAAACATCTCTTTATAAGTGAAAACTGAAACTTCATAGAAGATAACACTGAGCTTCATAACTTTCTTCAGCAGCAATTCTTACAGATGACAAAGCTTCAATAATAATTGAATTATCTGAATATGAATATATCAGAAACCATATAAGTCTTAATACTTTTTATATATAAAAGAAAAAAACACCTTTCTCTTCTCAACAAGTTCATGAGAGAGCTTTCAATCTATCTAATTTGAAAATGAAAAACAAAAGTCAAGCTTGAAGAAAATGAGTCTGTGATAAACTCTCTGCTCTCACAAATCTGCTATATTTATAATCAGCTAGAAGAAGACATTTTAATGAAGTTTCAATTTTGAATCAAATCATGCACACATAAAATGTGTATTTCTGAAGAAGTTTTCTATCAATTAAATGTTCTATTCTTGAATTCTACACTGCAAGCACATACAATGCAGTGATTAAATAGAAACTGTCAGAGAAATACTTCTTTAATGAATTATCTGCCTGATTTTGATAGTAAAATCTATAAAGCAGAAGGACAGAATTGAAATGATGCTGTGAAAAATAATCTTTTAAATCAATACATCAACTTTGAACTGTTTAAACTTTCCATTTTACATTTTATATCTTTATGTTACCACAACTACTGCACCCACTTGCATCAACTTGACAACAATCTTATATGTTTCAACGCTATACAAGAAAGCTGTAACAATCATAGACAGAACTTTACATCTACCAGTGCATTAATTATACCAACCACCTCTGTAAACATCATGAATTAAACTTCTCATGTAAATACAGAATGATCAAAGATATCTGATCTCTTCAGATGAAAGTTACTGATTAAATCATTCAAAAAATTTGCATTTATTGAAACAGATCAGAGCATTTTGCAAATCAATACATCAATGCAATGAGCTTAGCTTCTACACTATATAAACACAACTACATCTACAAATGAGTAAGAACAGAGAAATAAAAAGCTCTCAATCTAAAATATAGATGAGAGTTTAAGAAGTAAGAAGCAAGCTGAAAGTTTGAGTAAAAAATGCAAATGAATGCAATCACAATCTCTATCATTGTGAATAGTCTAGTCAATGTATGAGCAATAATAGACAGTGGGTTCCTTAACTACACTGTTATAAACACTTAGTTGATTGAAAAGTATAAGCTTCAGTGGATCTTCTTTTTTAAACTGTGTAAGCTCAGTAAATTCAATGATCTCAGAGGATTCACCTCCTACAATATGATAAAATTCAACATTTATATAGAAGAATATGAGAAAAAGAATGTTTATATATACAAAATGCAACACCTTGAATATGATTTAATACTCAGTTTGTCATGACTTATAAAATTTGAAACTCTGATAGATGCACACAATTGTTGCTTAATCTTATCAGAAAGCGACCACATTTACAAAAAAATATCAAGAGAACCACTGACTTCATTCAGATAGCAGTGAAAACATTCAAACTACTAATTTATCAAGCATATAAAAAGAAGAATGTTCAAGTATTTATTATTATAATGCACTTATTTATTATTTCCTTATTATATTATCTTTATTTATTCTTACCTCTTTCCATTATGTTCTCACTACCACTATTTATAATGCGTAATGCGGCCACCAGATAGCACCTGGGTGGGGAGATTCAAGATGTGTGAGTTCAAAACTCACAAGGAGACAACATTACATTCAAAATCAACTTCTCAACTTCTAAAATAAAGAAATGTGAATCTGCTAAATAAGTATCTTCAGATGAATCTACTATCTGATTTAATTTATTGTTTCTGAGCTGAAAACCTGTATTGTGAGTATTAAATCCTGTTTTTCATTAATTTTTTTATGTACCTATTATATTTTTGACATCATTCAACACTAAGCATTCCTCCTGTATAACCAACTCTTGTCTGTATTTAACATTACACAAGGGCTCGTCATAAGCACTGCTTGCATACGTATGTATGTATGTATGTATGTATAGGTTTAACGTCCCGGAGAAAACACGGGCAGCGCCTGTATTTCAGAAGCCTCCCGAAGGGCATGGAGACGTGCTACGCTGGAGAGATTTCTATGTACACAGAGAGAGAGAGAAAACAGAATCCCGGTGGCAACTCTTGAGAAGACTCAGCTCATTGCAAAGGATTTTTCTGAGCTGCGCATCCACTTCCGGCCCGACGTATGGCGCCAAGGACTTCACAGAGAGTAGCCACTGCCTTCTCAGTGGTCAGAGCGTCGCGTATGCCTCTGTTGCTTGGTGTGATCGCCCAACCTGTCCTGGTGGGCTCCACCTTCGGCACATTGGCCACATCCCCCACCCCCTGAATGTTTGCAACGATTGCCTGCCGCACAGCATATGGCTGTAGCCGGGCGACCCGTTTCTCTGGCTGGAGGGTGACCAGGACTCGTGGGTCCTCCTGCTGTTTTGTGCCCCCTGTGGGGCCCCTGGCTGACTGGCGCTTTTGGGCTGCAGGCTAGCTCCACTAGCCCTGCCTGCTGGGGAAGCCGCAGTCTTGACAGGGGTAACCCCAGGGAGGGCAGAGTTTTTCCCCCCTCTGAGCAAACACCCGCCCAGGTAGTCGGCTCCCTCGCCGCTGTCTTTGCTGCATTTGGCTGCGGATGAGTATCCGGGGCAGCACCCCCTCTCAGAATTGATGCTGCATTCAGATCTGCTGTCACATACTTGACAAACCTCTCACAGAAGATTCGGGCAAAGTTCTGACTGACTGACTGCTTGTCCTCCTCAACCCAGCTGTCCAGAGTCTTTGCCAATCTGATGAGAGCCTTCTGCTGCAGGTTCTGTTGCTGCTGAGCCTCCTCAAACTGCTTCTGCAGCCGAGAGGTGGCCGTGGGGATGCTGTCGCTGGCTCCTTTGAGGACTGGGGGAGGCATTGTGACAGTCTTCCTCTGCCTCTTGCCAGCCTTTTCAGTGACAAAATTGGCCGGTGACTCCGGCTCCAGTGGCCTGGTGTAGGCCGTGTCGATGTCCTTGGGCGGACGGGAGGGCGTTGAGGGCTCCATGACCACTCAACCTGTGCAGTACACACACGTAGAGAAATCGCAGAGGGCGTGCGATGATATTGAACGGGTTGGGGGGTTAAAATTATACGAAAAACAGTTGGAAAAGTGGAAAATTCAAATGTACCCCTACGTTCGTGGGTAGTTGTAAGGATGTGTCTGTGAAGTCTTTGACACCACAGAGATCCGGCTATCAGAGTGGTGGTACAATTATGCTGTTTCAGAGGTCTCAGAATTTGTTCAGAACTGGGAAGGAGTAAGAATCCTCACAGACAAGATGATTGAGGGAGAGGTTCTGACTCAGGCAAAGATAAAGCCAGTGAGCTGTTGACCCTCGCGTCATGGAGTGAACCCCAAGACAGGGAAGATTACATGGATTGTCTCCTTCCTTGCCTCAGTAAAAGGCTTCTCACTCTTCAATGCCAGTGAGAGGGCCAGGCTGATTGAGAAACGGCCTTTGACAGTGAGACATAACCCAGGATGCCAGGGGTTCTGCCACCCACCAAAGTGTGCGCGACTGGCAAGATGCTCCAACTGCAGTGAGCCCACAAGCCAGCATGAGGGGCCAACAGGCGCGGAGTGCAAGAGAGCGCCAAGATGTGCCAACTGCTGCCAACCCTACCCAGCTGGGCATCAGCACTGCCCTGCCGCACCCAGGCGCGTGAATGGCACCCTCAGGCGCCTAACTCAAAAAGAGCTAGCAGCTGTTCGCCGCCTTGGCGACAGGTGCCACAGGGATGCTCAGGAGCGGCAACCGCCGCCAGCACAGCCAGCACCAATGGTCGCAGTGGTGGTGCCTCCACCAACCACTCAGTCAACCCAGTCAACACAGCCCGCTGGGCTAGCACCCCGCAAGCGGGCGGCGACTCAGAGTTCCATCAGTGAGGAGGGTGCCACCTGGCAGATGGCCCGCACCAGGCGACGCTCAGCTCGCACAGCAGTGCGGCAGCACAGTCAAGCAGCTAAAGAACAGTCTGACTCCAGCATGCAGACGGCAGGTCTGGAGGCCTTCAACCTCATCCCGCAGGTGGACTTCGGCAGCAGCTCACCAAGTGACTCCTCATGCTAGGACACCAACACCAGCGACGCGGCTGGCGCCGCAGGAACAACCAGCAGGAAAATCGCCCCCTGCAGGTCTTCTGGGCAAATACGGCCAGGGCAGCCCCCTGTCACACAGCAGCTCTGCAGCTTGCCTTCGAGCAGGGCTGTGAAGTGATCTGTATACAGGAGCCATACACACACCCTGGCACCAAGACTTCTAACCACCCAGCGTATGAGTGCTTTGCGCCTATAGACCGTTGGGATGACACTAACCCGGAGCAGCGAGAGGAGGAGAGGCCCCGGGTCATGACATATGTACGCAAGGGCTCAAAGACAAGGGCACAGCAACACCGGTCTGTGCAAAGCAGGGATCTGCTATGGGTCAGTGTAAATGGCTGCCACATTCTCAATGTGTACAGACAGCCTGGGACAGACGCAGTCATGGACTATCTGACCAATCTGAGCCCACCAGCCCGCTGTCTGATAGGTGGGGATATCAACGTAAGGCATGATGCCTTTGAACCAGGGGCAGTGAATCTGCACCGGGGCGGGGAGCTTGTCCAATGGGCCAGTGAACATGGGATGGACTTTGTGGGAGAGATAGGGGTTCCGACTCATGCAGCAGGTCATGTGATTGATCTCACCTTCTCCAATGTGGCCTTTGCTTCCACTACAGTGCGTCAAGATCTACACTGCGGCTCAGATCACCAGTCTATGATCACTATACTGTCAACAACACTTCAAACACAGCTGAGTGATGCTCGGATCAAGATCACAGACTCTCAGCTGAAGCCCTTTGCAGATCTTGTCAGAGGTCTCATGATGAACATGTTTTGCTCAGAGAGGGTTGGAAATATGGCACAGTTTGATGATCTGACTCAGCACTTCACTCAGAGTCTTCTGACTGCAGCTCAGGCAGTCAGTAAGCCAGCTCAATAAAGGCAGATCACAGCCCTCTAATGAATAGCAGACTGCTGAAGAGCACACTAAGAGCTCACTACTCATCAGACAGAAGCCGCGAAGCATCAGTTCAAAAACACAGTGCACAAGATCAAGCATACATACTGAAAGCAGATGATCAATGAAGTCAGAGATGGTAGAGATCTGTACTGAGTGATGGCATGATATAAGCTGAAACTCAACCTCAGAGCACCCCCTTTGGTGATTGAGGATCAGATCATAGAAGAGATAGCTGTCAAAGCTGAAACATTTCAAGAAGCAATTTTGAAGTGATACAACTCAGCTGATGATCTGGAGTATAATTCACTAAATGATGAGCACTGAAACAGCATGAGGAACTTGCTCTGGAACCTCCGGATTGAGATGGAGGAGATGGAGCGCAACATCATTGAGATACAGAGCACCTCCTCAGACACGGATGGAATCACAATGCAGATGCTCAAAGCATGCTGACAGCATGTGTCTCTCTTTATACAGCAGCTATACAACTGCTGCCTCCAGCTCTACCACTTCCCATGAGCCTGAAAACTGGCAGAGATAGCAATGATACTCAAGATGAGTAAGAGAGATAGAAGCTCAGTCCACTCCTGAAGGCTCATTACTCTGTTTTCAGTAATTTTCAAAAGGCTGAAACACATCATTGCAAGGCAACTGGCGTACACGGCACTCATTCACAACATAGTCAGCCCACAGCATAAAGAGATACTGCTCAGATGATTTGCAATGGATCTGATAACTGCTTTCACTCATAAGATGAAGGCAGCCTTCGCACAAAACAAGGAAATGTCCATGGTCACAATGGATGTGCAGGGTGCCTTTGATGTTGTGCTGCGCAGGCGGCTGCTTCAGCAGATGATGCAGCAAGTCTGCATAATCAAAATGCGATTTCAAGTTTTACCACAACAGCTCTGCCAGATACAGAAGAAACAGTATTGATGATAAAGAAGATTTCTATAACATGCCACATTGCATCTGATGTGCTGCTGTGATGATCCTCTTCAGCTGAATGGGAGCTTTGTATTCAGTGAGGAAACTGATGCAGCAAGAGTGGTCTTACTTGCTGCTACAGCTCATGACAGTTTCCTCAC